CCAAAGCCTAGTACTACAGAACGTGAAGGAATCAACCAATTGTTTTCTGTTTTATATTTATGTAAAATGGGTTATATAAAACCCCAAGAAATCAGTGTAGAGGGGAGAGACTGATTATCATGAAAAAACATAAACATTTTTCATCAAAAAGGGAGGCAACGTCTTTTTAACAGCATATCAAAAAAATTGAAATCTTCAAGTAAATCAAGAGGTATTCAGTTCCTTATTTTCGGTTTATTTTACTAGATTCTTAGAATGTAACTAGAAAGGAGTTTATTGTTTAATCTAGTTCTTAGTTTCATGTGATTCTGATGCTTTTATAAAGTAAATAAGTTAGGGATCGAAGTTTACCTGGCTGTGGGGTTCGTTGGGGAAATAGGGTCGCCAAGGAGAGGGTAGAGATCGAGTTAGCTTTGTTTAGGTGGCAGCGCCACCGTGTGCGGTGGCCTGCCTTACGGCTTGGACCTCTCGGCCAAGGGAGAGACAGGGGATTAGGCTTGGTTTTCGTTTTGTGTCGGTTGGCGTTGGGTTTTAGGGCGTCGATGGTAGCTAGTCGAGGGGAATGGCCACCCGTGCGTGATGGCCTGAGCGTCGGGCTCCGGTTCTTCGGGGTCAGCCACCATGGGTGCACGAACAAGAGAGGAAGGGAGGCTAGGGATTTAGTAGTTTCGGGCAAATGAAGAAAAGAGGGGAGAAGTAATCTCATTTTGAGATTTTTTGGGTAAACCACGCTAAGGTCCTTGAACCTTTAGCGTGTTTCACGATTCAGTCCATAATGTTATCTTTTATTCATTTATACTGATTTAAGTTGCATGTTTTGTTTCATTTTATTCTGGTCACTTGATATATATTATTTATTTATTTCGAATTGTTCTGTTCATTTTTATTGATTTTATTTTGGTCACCTTTTTATTGGTTTTGCTTATGTTAGGATTTATTTCACTTTGTCATATATGTGTTTATATTTGTTTAGTGTTATTTATATGTAAATCATATATTGTATGAAAATAAATTTATATACTAAGTACTTTTTGTATATACATGTATGTCATTGTATTTAATCTTAGCCTATTTATTTATTGGTTATTTCAAATTTATCCACTAGTCAGAATTTTACTCAAATATGTTCGAAAACAACGATTTGTAGAATGGGTGTGGAAAGCATCGCTTGGTCGAAGTGATGCAATCCTATACGACGTTCAAACAGAATATGATAAATAAAAAAAACGCAAATTCTTCCTTTTACGAGCTTATAGAAATTATTTTTATTGTTATCTTTTTTTTGTTATTTTATTTGATGTTCATATTATTTAATATTTAAATTTTAATCTTTATTATTATTTCTTCATTGAATCTTAATATGAGTGATGTATGTTTTGGAAAAATAAAAAATGATGTATTTTATGTCAATTTTTGATATTATTTTTTTAATTTAAAGAGAAAATATTCTTTACAAGTAAGAAATAGACGATGTAGCTTTCCCGACGGAGGATTGCAAATCTCGGGATTTCTTGTCGAGAAAAGGGTTTTTTATTTTATTTTAACTAATATTGAATAAATAGATCATAATTTATTTATTATTCTATTTTTTATAATTTTTATTGTATTAATGGTTTTTATGTTAATATTAACGATACATGTTTTAGATAAATTAAGCATATTTTATTTTCTACTCATGTCGATATTATTTGGTGGTAATTCAAAGATAGAATATACTTTATAGATGAGAAATAGATGAGATAGCTTTCCCGTTGGATGATTGCAAATCTTGAGATTTCTTACCAAGTGAAGTATTTCTATTATTTTAACAAATATTCAATAAATAGATCATATTTTTACTTCTGATTCAAACTTTAAGTTCTACCATTTATGACGATATATAAGCGACTAAGTACCGATTTTGGGCGTTGTGGATGTTTATCTTTTCCACAGACGTAACCGACTTCCGAACCCCTAAATTTTCTTCTGATAACGCAGACTTGTATTCTTATAAAAAATGATTTTCCTTAAAATTGTTTTTTAAATTAAAAACATGTTCTTAGGTATTCGACTTACCTAACTCAAAGGTCAATGGCGACTCCCTTTTTCAATCTAATTCTCAAATAAATTCAAAATTGTCACATTTTTAAAAATAAAAATCATAATTGTTTTTTTAATAATGAAAAAAAAAAGTTAAAAAAAAGGTATGACAAAGTTACTAATGAATATTAATGTATAACATTAATGGTGTACGCCAATATATAATACTAGTTATAAATTCACGTGATGAATTGAATGTTAATTTTTTATTAGTAGCTTAGTTCTTTATTATTTTTGAAAGATTTTCTAACATTTATCCATTAAATAATATAAGTAGTTAAAAAGAATAGTATTTTCTCTAGAAATATTAAATTCAACTAATTGTATTTATAAGAAATATATTATCAATTACTTAAAAAGATTACAAACAAACGATAATTTATAATCAACTCATATTATTAAAAAAATTGTAAAATTTGACAAGCTTTGGACTACTTGCTAGTATATTACGAGAATAAATAAATAAATTATTTTATTGAAATTAAAAGAATAAATAAATTTGTTATTGATTCAGATAATAGTATATTACGAGTCTGTATACGTATTTTAATGGAATAAATAAATCTGGGTAGATAGGAAGTTGATCTAAAATCGTGAACCCTCCTTAAATTCTTTTGTTGAAATTAAAAGAAGAAACACGACAAATCAATTTTCGATTTTTTAATTTTATATTTTCTACACTCAATTTTTAATATTTATTAAATATATGAATTGTTTTTTTTTATAATTTGTCATTTTAAGCTCATACAACGTCAAATATTTGATGTAATGAAAAACGGATTATAAATATCATGTAGATAAACAATAATTTTAAAACTAAATATAAAAACTATAAAATTTAATACACAAAATTACTTTATCTAAAAATATAAGAGCCTGATCAAAGATCAAAGTTAATTTCCAATTCAGAATCAAACGAAAGGTAAAATACACATTAGGGTCACTCAATTATTAGTTTGATTATAAATAGGTCACTTCTTCTTTCAAAAATTATAACTTAATAGTTTAATTAAAATAGTGTTACATTCGGGTGACTACCCAAAAATTGGAATAGTGACCTATCTTGATATAATGATAAATCTAGTTCTCAAAATTTATATGTTCTATCAAATTGATCTTAATTTAAAATATTTATATAAATTTAATTTATTTATATTTATAAAATATATTAATTTATTTTTTATTTCAATAAATTATTTTCTTTTCTCATAAATGATGTATATTACTTTTTTGTTATTCTTTCGGTATAATAATAATTTAAAAATAACATGCTGCTTTTATCATAGAATGTAAGTACCCAAATGGTATTTTGCTTTGGTAGACTTATTTAATTTGATAGCATTGCAAAATACGATTAAATTGATGTAATTTTATAATTCAAAAGATTAAATTTATCGAACTATTTCAAATTTAGATTAGACTGATAGAAATTAATAACTAATTAAAATTATTATTGAAATTAGCCCCATTAAATAGGAATGGTCATTGCACTTTGACCCGATAGATTCCGAATCAAATTGTCTCAGTTGAGTCAGTTTTTTATTTCGAAAAATTCAGATTTGAGTCATATTTAGGTTTAAGATGAAAATTTTTAACTCTTATATATTTATGAATAATTATAATAATATTTTTTTTTATTTTTTAAATTGGTTTCTTATTTAACCTAAATTATATATAATTCAGGTTGAGTATGAGTTTTTACCCAAAAATTCAATCAAATTTTCGAGTAAGATGAGATCATCTTAAAACAGAATCGAATACAAATCACAAAATTTAATTTTTGAATTGATTTTGAGTAAGACCAAAACTCGATCATGCCCATGATAATCACTAACATTAAATATATGCTTCAAATTTAATGACATATTGACATGTTTGTAATAGTATTTTAATTTATTAAATAATAATTTATAGGAAAAAGAAAGAAAAAAGTGATCCGTTTGTAAGAAAACTAATATTGGAGTGTCCTGTGTTGTATTTTTAGAACACTCAATGTTCTTATTGGGTAATAGCTGTTGTCATCAACCGACCGAATCTTTTGATTTGCGCGCCTTTGTGTTTTTTTTCCCCCTTAAAGAATGTCCGTTTATTTGCAACGTGGAGACTTGTGGAGTGACCGGGGGATCTCTTGGTGTGTATCTCACTCACACGGAAATAAAAATAAATAAACATCCCACCCCAACGCTCTATTAATTGTTTTTTTTAATAAATGTTTTTCTATTACTTAATAACTCTCTTAAATGTTAAATCTGACAACGCATGGTAAATTAATTACGACTCTATAAATTTAACTGCTTTGTGTAAGTTCTATATCAATGAAAATTGACCAGTAACATTATTTTAAAATCTTAATTAACTTTAGATAGAATTTGAATCAAGGTCGAAAACGCATTTTATTTTTTTGAAATATATTAAAATATTAAAAAATATCTTACATTAATATTTTTTAGAAAAAGTAAGCTCATTTGCACACATCTTATACAAATTAAAAAATATATATAACTTTGATACTAGATGTACTTACAGCTTAAATATTACAGGATTTACTTTTTTACAGAAAAGTTTATGGTAAAAATCTATATATTAAAATTGAAATTAATTTAAAATTTTACCGTATCCAAATAAAAATTTGAGAATGAAACTTCAACCATAAGATAAGCATTTTGTTTTCTATAAATGCATGATTCATATCCTCCAACATGAGGCTCCCACCTCACCGGACCTTTTTCTAGTACTCGATAGTTTTCAATTATTTTAATAAAATATTATATTCTGGAATCTTCACTTCCAAAATTATTATTTTGGGTGATGGAAAACATTTTTGACGCGGAAAAGGGGGGAAAAATGGTAGTAAGCATAGATTCCTAAGTTTTAGGGAAAGAAGAGAGAGCACAGGTAAAACTAGAAGGGAAAGGGAAAGGGAAAGGGAAAGGGAAAGGGAAAGGGAAAGGGAAAGAGACGTTCTCTCTTCTTTAATTAGCATTTACAAACAACAAACCAAAAACAAAACAAAAATATTTTTTCCCTTGGAAGACACAGTCTTTTGTTGTCTTACCAGCATCAAAACTCAGGTTTGTTGCTTCAGTTAGCTTCGTTTCACGTTCTTTTTCCCCTCCAATGTTTTCTCCATGATGTTTTTCGGTTTATATTCGTTGAACCGTTTTCTGTTTTCAACTTTATATTAGATTTTGGTTCTCATCGGTAGCTTTATGATTTAGTTTCCTGATTTGGGTTTTGTTTCTTTCCTCCAAAGTTATGATCTTTACTGATTTTCTGTTTCTGGGTTTCATATATATTTTAACGGCAGCTATGAATCTCTAAGCATATTTAGATTTCCAGGTCTGTTGATAAGAACAATTTAGATTTAGATTTGCTCCTTTTAAGCATTGTAAAAGTTGTAATTAATCAATTTGTGTTTTGTTACCGACTTTTTCTTCACAAATCTGGTACCTTACGACTTACAACAGTAGCTTAATCACAATGTATATTTAACTAATCAGTCTTTTTAATGATGCTTAATTTTTGTATTTTCGTGCTTTAGAATACTCTTTCTTTTTCATTACTAATTAGTTTTTTATTTGATTGCTTGTTTATGTTTGATTCGTCGGCCGGATCTAGTTTCAGTTACAGTATGTTCTGGGAATTAGCAGAGCAGGCTATCATACATGATAAGCTAACATTAATGGTGGTTGTTCTTTTTACAGTTAGTTTCAAAGGTATATCTTGGAATTATATGTTGGAGGAAAGGTCTTTGATCTGAAGATTGATGGTATTTGCGGCTCCGGTTTGCATCTCAAGGTAGCTAGAGGGTTTTTTCTTCTTCGTTTTTTTTCTTTTCGAATCGGTGATGATAGAATGTATTGCTGTTAAGGTTGTCTGTTAGATCCTATGATAAGGCCCAACAATGGTGTCGACGTTGAACATGGAGAAGAAATGGGTGTTTCCCCTTGTGATAAGTTCTCTCATATGCACGATCCTTGTTGTCACTTGCTTTAATATGGGACTTGTTTCTTCGGTTCACAAAATCAACTCGATCTTCTCCATTTTTCCTTCTCATATGAATCAAAGGAAGCTGGGCTATGCTGAATCGAAGATTGATATTGTTCCTTTGTTACCACCTCCTGCTGGTCTGGCATTACCTCGTTTTGCATACTTGGTTTCTGGATCAAAGGGTGATCTGGAAAAGCTTTGGAGAACTCTTCATGCTCTGTATCATCCACGGAATCAATACGTTGTTCATTTGGACCTCGAGGCACCGACAGAGGAGAGATTGATGCTTGCTTCCAGAATAAATAATCATACGATTTTTTCGAAAGTCGGGAATGTCTATATGATCACCAAGGCTAATATGGTTACTTATCGAGGACCAACCATGGTCGCCAATACTCTCCACGCTTGTGCCATTCATCTTAACAGAAGTAAAGATTGGGATTGGTTTATCAATCTTAGTGCATCGGATTATCCTCTTGTGACTCAAGATGGTAAGTCTTTGTCACATGCCTTATCTGAGAACTGAACCGGTGGATATTGCTTTTGGTATTTGTTAATTTGGTTCTTTTGTTATTTGCAGATCTTATTTATGCATTTTCTGATATAAACCGGAACCTTAATTTTATTGAACATACAAGTCAGCTTGGCTGGAAAGAGTAAGTCTTCTCATTCTTTCCATCTCCATCTAAAATCTTCATTTTCATTGAATGCCGACAAATTTCGCCGGTGCTTGTGCAGGGATAAAAGAGCTATGCCTTTGATTATAGACCCCGGACTCTACAAGTCAACCAAGTCTGATATATTTTGGACTTCACAAAAGCGAACATTACCTACTGCATTTAAATTATTTACTGGTTAGTACACTGTCATATGCCGGGTTTGTTTAATATAAGTTTTCTCTCTCTTAATATCCTGTAAGACTTCTTCAATTCCAGCAGTAAGATTGAAAATCTCATATAAGTTTTTTCTCTCTTAATATCATATAACTAGGGGATTGATTGTTCCTTTATGGTCTCAATAGTCTGTATCTTCTTATTGACAGATGAGATTATTGTTTCCGATCTCGTATATGGACTATCGATCTTTCTTTAAATATATATCTAAAAGTGAATTATCCGAATCTATATGTTGTTTAGTTTTAAATTATGTTAATTAAGCAAGCTCGGGTGAAAACTTTGAAAAAGATATATGCATTGGTTTAGTGATGCAGCTGATGAATCATTGATCTTAAAGCAGTGTCCTGGTTTTGTTCTTCTTAAGTTGGAACTACGGACACATTACATTAATACATATATAATTTGTTTTGCTTTACGGAATTGGCGGTTAACTGTTTCCGTAATCCTCTTTGCTTGCAGGTTCGGCATGGACTGTGTTGTCGCATTCATTTGTGGAGTATTGTGTTTGGGGTTGGGATAATCTGCCGAGAACTCTTCTGATGTACTACACAAACTTCCTATCCTCTCCCGAAGGCTACTTTCAGACTGTCGTATGCAATGCCCCGGAGTTTGCTAAGACTGTTGTCAATCATGATTTGCATTATATTTCATGGGACAATCCTCCTAAACAGCACCCTCATGTCCTTACGGTTAATGATTCGGACAAGATGGTTCAAAGCAATGCTGCTTTTGCTCGAAAATTCAATCAAGACGATCCCGTGTTGGATAAGATTGATAAGGAGTTGCTTGGCCGGGAAAAGGGGAGCTTCACCCCGGGTGCTTGGTGCTCTGGTGAACCAAAATGCTCAGAAGTTGGAGATAAGAACAAGATAAAGCCAGGTCCAGGAGCTGAAAGGCTTCGTCAACTCATAGCTAAGTTGTCCACGAAAGCTACTCTCAGGCGAGATCAGTGTAAATAGGTTTCACGGTGAGGATGTTCGATCAATGAGGCTGACACGGCTGAGAAATTTGTATCTAATAGTTTTGCTTCAACCAATAGGTATTCAAATTCCTAGCCATGTCGAGGGTAAAAAATTGGTACTCAATAATCAATACCCTACTTTTGGTGAGACTAGAATTCGTCAAAAACAAAAGCTTTATACATCGATATCCTGTGCTTGTTCTCTGATGTTTTACTCCTACAGATCTATAATTTTTTTTTGGCATATTGTTGTTAAAAAACTTGTTGAATTATGAAGAAAATATCTCTACCAGTTTTATGCTGGATTTGCCGAATCTGGATTTTCGATTTTTGCTTAACAGGATCAAAGCCCTGGGATTTCATTCTTTAGAACTTATGAATAGCATCTACATGAAAAAGATAAAAGAACCATGCCCTGAGATTGAAAATCTCCAAAGGAAAACACCTTACTCCTCAGCCTTTTGTCAAAGAACATAACAGACAAGAAATCGAGTACCTTTCACTGTAAAACATGCTACAAATTTATTTTCAACTAGAAGAAAAACCAGCCTGTACTAGCCGATAACAATCACAGACCCCCGACACTGGTACACATGTTGACAATAAGGTTAACAAGAAAGGGACCATACCTTTCCAAAATACAGTTGCCGTGTAGGAAACAAATGCACATATGACGAATCACAAAGGTTTCTTAATCTACAACCTTAGCTATAATATACCTGCTACTAGCCATCTTCCTAAACAAACCAGCCCTCTGATCCTTTGTTACTCGGAAACATATTCATATGCTACACTAATGCAAGAGTTCGAGTAACAAAGCACCATCCTATACAAAAAATACGCATTTGACAACTTGGGTGATATTTGACTAGATAATCAGCAGCCAAATTATTTGCAGTGATCATCTTGACGATGCTCAACTTTGATTTGCAGTTGTACAGAATTCAGTTCAACGACCAGAAACAAATAATGAAGTGGTTGATAATTGGTTCCCTTGTAACTGAACTTTTCTCTTCATTGTTTTATCGAGACGTGCTCGCCGAACAGCTTCTTGGATTTGACGATCGTGATCCTTGAGCATTTGATCTGTGTTGCCTGATGGAACTAATAATGGACCTGAATAGTGAATTTTCTGAACCTTCGATCCATAACCAAGCTGGGAACATCATTGAGAAGCATGTATCAGAGAAAATGGATAAAAGCAATCGAAGTGTAAGAAATAGTTGAACTGCAAAACCGGAAAACATTGTGGACTAATTACCAGAACTGAATCTTTGGTATTTCTTCTTCCATCTTCCTTCTGCTGCACATTATGTTCTGGGTCCTGTCCGATAGAAGATTCCGAGGCCTCTTTGAAAGACCCTGGAAATCTTGCAATTAGTTTTGGAGTTTCGGATTGCGAAGAACCAGATCTTTCTCTGCTATCTTCAGGTAAAAGATTATTTCTCCTTGCTGCCACTAAACCTGACATCATTGGCAGATTAGGCCCGGTCGAAACTTTTGAAGGATCATCCTGGTTTTTCCCAGACTTTGCCCATGCAGCCCTGTGAGCCAGCGGCCCTGAATGGGAGGCTCTCTTGTGATGATTCACATGGCCATCTGCATCTGATTCTACTGCTTGTGAAGGTCTAGGTGGATCTATAGGAAAGCCTGAAGCAGCTTCTTTAGGATGCGGATTAAAGTTCTCACTACGGCACTTCGAATCGGATTGATTTTGTCTTCTCTGAAGTGTCAAAGCAATAATAGTAATGTCAAATTAATGTAACTGCTCTGAAAGAAATTTTGATGTAAAAACTGACGAACTATATTTCAACTCATTCGTTATATTTTCTTCCCTCCTCACCCACATTGATCAAGTTAATGAAAGCCTGCCCTTGGTTGATTGAAGAAAAGAGGGAAAGAATTACATCTCAACCATGTTTAAAAAGAGAGGGGTGACTTAATAACATATTAACATGTCTAGAATGAATATTGTCTGATGCTGTAAAATTTATGGATCTTGTTAGTTTTAACATTGGTCCACATCTTGATACATACATACATACATACACTAGTTAAGGATGCCCATTACCGAACATGTAGACCAAAAAACAAGTGACTGCAGAAACTTTTAGCCAAATTCTAAGTTACCTGCATTGACAGAACTAGTTCGGCATTAGCATCGGGTGCTGGGACAGCTCGAGATTCTCTTGTTGCTCTCCTATCAAGTTCAGGTCTCTGGCCCTAGGTTGCTGCTTGTCACGAAATTGGGCTTTTTCTCCACACTTTGGGCTATTTTGCCTATGTTGGGCCACACTTGGTCTTGGAGGTTGATAGAATAGTGTAGATTATTCTAGAACACTAAAGACTTGTACATATTCTAGAAGCATTCTAGAGTCTTCCATGTTAGGTAGGAAATTATGGAGAATTCTAGAGAATCTCTCCCTACCGTAGGATCAAGTCAATCTCCACCGTCCATTGAGGAGGTGGGAGGTTATAAATAGATGTAGAATCCTCATTTGTAAATCATCTAAGAGTTGTAAGCTTTCAAGCATATCAACAAGCTTTCTCTCAAAGTTCTTTCCTTTCTTATTTGTTTCCCTGCCAATCCTTTCCTACATTAGCACGAGTTTGAGTGAGGCTGACTTAGCTATCGCGAGGGGCGAAAAGGAGCTAAGGTCGTACGAGGCTTATTGAGAGATTAAATCCGTGACAGTTGGTATCAGAGCCGGTAAAGGCGTCAATATCGTGCACGTGTCTTGTAGAAATGATCGGGAACTCGAACGAGTCGACTGTTGCTGAGGAACGTGGGAGAGAAGTTGCACCTACCAACCCGAAGAAGAAGAGGGACCAAAGTAAGGCCCGTGAGGGCACTTCCTTAGAACCGATGGTGGCAGAGTTTGGCGAGAGGCTGGAGAGGGTCTAACACAACTTCAAGACGTTGGAGGACCATGTCTTGGAACAAGTTGACACACTCAAAGGAAATACCGAAGAGACCAACAACGAGGTGGGAGCTCGGTTCATACGGCTAGAGGATATGATCCAAGTCGTACGTGAGAGCATCGAGGGGATGCGAGAGGACTTGTCGCTCTGCAAGAGAGCCGCCGTTAGCGGGGGTGCTAATAATGTCTCCACCCCGAGGGTCGAGTGCCCCAAGCCGCAAGGGTTCAACGGGGCAAGGGACGCCAAGGAAGTCGAAAACTACCTATGGCGGATGGAGCAATACTTCGAGGGAATCGGCCTTAAAGACGAGGCCACTAAGGTAAAGACCGCTGCCTTATATCTTTCCGATACTGCTATGTTATGGTGGCGTAAGAAACATGCCGACATTGAGCGAGGGGCTTGTCGGTTAGATACGTGGGATGAGTTCAAGAAAGAACTCAAGAAGCACTTCTATCCCGAGAATGTGGTCTACGAGGCTCGCAAGAAATTGCGGGAGTTGAAGCAACAGGGTATTATGCGGGACTATGTGAAAGAATTCACAACCCTTATGCTTCAAATTCCCAATATGTCAGAAGAAGATCTCTTGTTCTATTTCGTTGACGGGCTACAAGGATGGGCCAAGCAAGAGATACACCGTCGGGACATTAGGACAGTTGATGAAGCCATTGTCATCGCCGAGTCACTCGTCGACTTCCAACCCTACTCCCACACCAATGCGACGAGGAATAAGGATAAGTATCCAGCCAAAGGTGGGGGAGAACGGCGGGAGAACAACCATGGCAACCGAGATCGAGATCACCGAAGGCCACAAGCTAAAGAGGGAGATCGAGATCGACGTCCCTGGTCGAAGGGACTACGAAGAGAAGAAAAAGGCCTTCGTTCCTAAAGGAGGATGCTTATTGTGTAAAGGGCCGCGCCCGATAAGTAGCTGTCCCAAACTTGGTTCATTGTCTGCCATCGTCGATCGTCAAGACACAAAGTCTCAAGTCGAGATGGGATCGCTAAAATTTCTAAACGCCTTGAAGGCCAAGTCGTTGACACCAACATCGAGTAATGAGCTCATGTATGTGGATGCGATGATCAACGAGAAGCTGACAAGAGCCATGGTGGACACGGGAGCTACCCACAATTTTGTGTCTAAAGACGAAGCCAACTGTTTGGGCCTAAAGTACATTGGGAGCACAAGATGGCTCAAGACGATAAACACACAAGCGGTACCACTCCATGGTGTGGCACGATCGAGCTACGCTTAGGTACTTGGAAGGGCCAAGTGAACTTTTCAGTCGTTCCTATGGATGACTTTAAGGTCGTTTTGGGGTTGGACTTCCTCCGACAGGTAACCGTTTTCCCTATGCTTTCCTTTAGTTCGGTTTGTATCTTGGAGAAAGGGTCTCCTTGCATGATCCTCACGGTCGAGGAACCGAAAGAGCAAGGTCGAGATGCTACACAACTCTCGGCCATACAACTTGGTAAAGGCATCAAGAAAGGGGACATTACTTACTTGGCCATGCTAAAGGAAGATGACGAGATCGAGAAAATGGGTGACCTACCCTTGATCATCCGTGAAGTCTTAGAGGAGAACAAGGACGTAATGCCGCCCGAGTTACCAAATAAACTTCCACCAAGGCATGAGGTGGATCACAAGATCGAGTTGGAACCCGGTGCCAAGCCGCCTGCCCTGGCACCCTACCGAATGACCCCACCCGAACTTGAGGAACTTCGAAGGCAACTCAAGGAGCTAGTCGATATGGGAATGATTCGACCTTCGAAGGCACCATATGGCGCACCGGTACTCTTCCAAAAGAAGCACGATGGGTTGTTGCGCATGTGCGTCGATTACCGGGCACTTAATAAGGTAACCATTAAAAATCGTTACCCGATCCCTTTGATTGCCGATTTATTTGACAGACTTGGAGGAGCCAAGGTGTACACGAAGATGGACTTGCAAAAAGGCTACTTCCAAGTTCGAATAGCAGAAGGCGACGAGCCAAAGACCGCATGCATCACCCTATACGGATAGTACAAGTGGTTGGTCATGCCCTTTAGTCTAACCAATGCACCGACGACGTTTTGCATGCTCATGAACAAGCTCTTGTAACCATACTTGGACCAGTTCATGGTGGTGTACTTGGACGATATCGTGGTATACAGTAACTCCATCGGGGAACATGTAGACCACTTGATGATTGTGTTCAAGATACTTCGAGAGAACGAGCTGTATGTCAAGAAGAAAAAGTGCACGTTTGCCACTGAGGAAGTACACTTCCTTGGACATGTAATCGGCCACGAGAAGCTATTGATGGACGAGAGCAAAATTAAGGCCATAACCAAGTGGGAGCTATCGACCAAGAGAAAGACGTGGGAGTGGTCCGAACAATGTCAGGAGGCCTTTGAGGACTTGAAGGCAACAGTTAGCCAAGAACCTGTCTTGGTCCTACCTGACTTTACCAAGCTATTCGAGGTGCACTCTGATGCATCCGACTTCGCTATCGGGGGAGTACTAATGCAAGAGGGGCATCCAGTAGCATTTGAGAGCCGCAAGCTGAACGACATCGAGAGACGGTACACGGTGCAAGAGAAGGAGATGACGGCCATCATCCATTGCTTGCGGGTATGGAGACATTATTTACTCGGCGCGCACTTCACCATCAAGATTGACAACATGGCAACGAGTTATTTTCAGACTCAGAAGAAGTTGTCACCAAAACAAGCTAGGTGGCAGGACTTCCTAGCCGAGTTCGACTACACGTTGGAATACAAGTCGGGCAAAGCCTACGTCGTAGCCGATGCCTTAAGTCGAAAGACAGAGCTTGCCGCGATCTCTCTAGCCAAGGGAACCGTGTTGGAACGTATCAAGAAGGGCCTTGAGCAAGATCCACTAACAAGAGAATTAGTTAAGCTGGCTAGCGATGGCAAAACCCAACGGTTTTGGATAGAGGACGGTCTACTCTACACCAAGGGACGGCGAATCTATGTTCCAAAATGGGAAAACTTAAGGCGAGATCTTATCAAAGAGTGCCACGACACCAAGTGGGCTGGTCATCCGGGTCAAAAGCGCACTATGGCATTGATAGAGACAACATACTTTTGGCCCCATATGAAGGATAGCGTGGAGCTTTACGTGAAGACTTGTCTTGTGTGCCAACAAGCCAAAGTAGAGAACCGACAGCCGGCGGGATTACTCGAACCTTTACCAGTTCTCCAAAGACCTTGGGATTCAATCACCTTGGATTTCATTAGTGCATTACCCAAGTCCGAAGGATACGGTTCGATCATGGTCGTCGTGGACCGATTTTCCAAGTATGGGACTTTCATACTATGCCCCAAGGATTGCACTGCGGAGGAGGCCGCGCGAGCATTTTTCAAGAATGTCGTGAAGCATTGGGGTTTACCAATGAGCATCATCAGTGACCGAGACCCTCGATTCACCGGACGCCTATGGACGGAATTATTCAAGCTCCTTGGCACCGAGTTAAATTTCTCCACAAGCTTTCACCCTCAAACTGATGGGCAGACCGAACGAGTGAACGCTTTGTTGGAGTGTTACTTGCGGCACTTCGTGAGTGCCAACCAACGAGATTGGGCAAAGTTGTTAGACGTCGCCCAATTCTCTTATAACCTGCAGCGGAGTGAAGCCACAGGCCGGAGTTCGTTCGAGCTTGCAACCGGACAACAACCACTCACACCGCACACATTGACAATGCCACTTGACGAGGGCAAAAGTCCCGGAGCCACCAAGATGGCTAATTCATGGGAGGAGAACGCCGATATCACCCGCGCATGTTTAGAGAAAGCGAGGAAGAAGATGAAGAAGTGGGCGGACGAGAAGAGGCGGCATCGAGAGTTCTCCGTTGGAGACTTAGTCCTTGTGAAGCTTTTGCCACAACAGTTCAAAGCTCTCTGAATCGTTCACAAAGGACTAATACGGAGATACGAGGGACCGTTCCAGGTATTTGCCAAGGTGGGTAAAGTGTCTTATCGCTTAGACTTGCCAAGTACACTTAAGATTCATCTGGTCTTCCATGTAAGTATGCTCAAGCCATATCATGCCGACAAGGAAGACCCAAGCCGAGGGTATTCGCATCGAGCACCTCCCGTAGTAACCAAGTCTTACGATAAAGATGTGGAAACGATGCTCACAAGCATGACGGTCCGCAAGAGAGGAGTCCCACCGCGTACTGAGTATTTAATCAAGTGGAAAGGACTACCAGAGTCCGAGGCAACATGGGAACTAGCTGAAGACTTGTGGCACTTTGAAGAACATCTCAAAGCGTACGAGGACGACGCCAGAATAGGTGGGGGAGAATGTCACGAAATTGGGCATTTTCTCCACACTTTGGGCTATTTTGGCTATGTTGGGCCACACTTGGTCTTGGAGGTTGATAGAATAGTGTAGATTATTCTAGAACACTCAAGACTTGTACATATTCTAGAAGCATTCTAGAGTCTTCCATGTTAGGTAGGAAATTATGGAGAATTCTAGAGAATCTCTCCCTACCGTAGGATCAAGTCAATCTCCACCGTCCATTGAGGAGGTGGGAGGCTATAAATAGATGTAGAATCCTCATTTGTAAATCATCCAAGAGTTGTAAGCTTTCAAGCATATCAACAAGCTTTCTCTCAAAGTTCTTTCCTTTCTTATTTGTTTCCTTGCCAATCCTTTCCCACATTAGCACGAGTTTGAGTGAGGCTGACTTAGCTATCGCGAGGGGTGAAAAGGAGCTAAGGCCGTACGAGGCTTATTGAGAGATTAAGTCCGTGACATGCTGCTCTTTTTCTGTCAATGCAAACAAAAGTAAGTTTATTAGCACCTAGGCCAACTGTTCAAGATTTCAGGCCATTAGGCAGCAATGGCCGAACAGCTAAACGTCGTTTAGTAAACGATAATAATAGCTCCAAACACCAGATTTACAGCAGTCCAACATGAGCTGAAGAACTAAGAGATTCAATTATTTGTTACAAGTTTTTTTACAATGGTTTTGAAGTGTTCTATTTTCTTTGGGAGTAAATGCATCACAAGTATATCAAGAGTTCTAATAGAATTTTCCTTAAGCATGCGATTTTCCATGTAGCACACGTAACTACCTTCATACACACACACATGCATAAATAAAATAAAATAAACAAATTAAAATTGTATTGTAATTAAGTATATAATATGGACCTTCTAGCTTCCTCATCCTTCATTTTCGCATCGAGTTCTTTGCTAGGAGGATACTTTGGCAAGCTCGAAGGATCACAAGGAAGAGGTTTAGTCGTAAAGAACTGAAAAACATAAATAAAAACAAGTCAAGGTCACTAGATAATATTGATCGATCATCGGAATAGAAGTACAACACTATGATTTTGGACTAAAAGAATTACATACTACCATTTAGAAAATGCACACATAGACATGCTTTTAGATGCAACTATTATAATCTACGTTACATGAACTTGGGCGTGAATACAAGATATGGGTATTTGATAGAAAATGATATGTTTAATTTTTAAAAGTTTTTCTTTGTATTGGGATGGTATGGTAAATCATATCCCCTTGTCCTAGTCTGAATATGTGTCAGACACAAGTAAAACATGAAAAGTGAATAAATGGATCAACAGAGATCATAATTGTCTAAAACTTTATGAAACACAATATCTCAAAAACATTATACCTTATTCTCGAGAGCAGAGGCTGCAGATCCACGATCAGAAGAGTCAATGGAAAGTAAGGTCTCAAAAATTAATTATGTTTGCGTCATTATCTTGCTACTAATTTTATTCTTTCTTTTTTTCAGCATGTCCCGTATGTTATCTCCCTGTGGATCAGGCCATAGCTAGCATGCCAAGTTCCCCATCCGAATCTCCAGTGCTTCAAAATTTGATATATGTTCATGATGAAAATCCAATCAAAACTGAACCACATGGGGGCTCTGAATTTGGTGGATATCCATCTCTAAAGCAAAGAAATGATTCGTTTGATATAAAAGAGTTGGTGACAGTTCACAGTGGGTAGGTTTCACTCTCCTATCACTTCTTCAATATAAACTACTCATTTACAACAGTTCGGGTAGAGATTTATGTGATTTTTATGTTATTGACGATGCATTTAAATGATTCAACGAATTACTTGTCTTCATAAATAGATCTTCTCCCCGTTGCTCTTTGATATTGTAATTTCGTGTACTTTCTCTTTCAGATTCTTCAAGGGAAGTCAACCTGGTCACCTCACTGGATTTGACTTTGACGAGTCTGACCTGGAAAAGTTGTTGCAGTTCCACGAGATCATTGTTGCATCAGGGATATTTGGTACTAGATATTCAGGGTTCTGCAATATTTTCTTTCTTTTATGTATGCTTTATCCTCATCATTTCTATATTTATTACTCTCCAGGGAACTAGGATATAATACAGCAGCCCAGGAACATCAGTGAAGGAGCAAAGAAAAATGTTCCTTTCTACATGTTTATCGATAAAGGAGCAAAGAAAAATGTTCCTTTCTACGATTTTCTACAGATGTTCCTGAAGGTTCTGTACTCATAAAGGAGCATATACCGATCGCAAATCTGTTTACCTGTCTGTGGTTTAATGAAGTTGATCGTTTTACATCCCGGGACCAGTTAAGCTTTGGTATGGTAAGGGATAAAATAATAGTAAAAGTTGATTGGCATATCCATATGTTTTTGGATTGGGAAAGACGCAATTTTGTGATACAGGTACATAATCTGTATTCGAGTATCAACTTCATGAGATTATGAATTTCGAGCTTGATAACATATATATTACTTTTTACTGCTTTTCTTCTTATTCGCAGGTATATCGTAGAGATCTATTGGAGCATATGCCTCCACTAGTTGCGATGATTCGACGCCCACCAGCTTTGCCGAATACCAATGTCCATGGAAGAAATCAAGGGAAGAGGACTCTAAGACGTGGGAGGGACAGAAGATCTGGTTCGAGGTGTCACCGTAGGGCTTCTGCTGGTAATAGAGAACAGTTTCTTTCAAATGCTGACTGTACCAAAAAGAAGAGAAGAAATCTACCCCTTAATATTATAAAAAATGATTTAATGATAGAAAATGAATAATAGATTGATGATAAATATTATAACTTATAATTTATCCTCAAATTTTAAAAAATCCATTTATGAAATGGATTCCTACGAAAGGACAGTGGCCCAAAATAAAGTTCATAAAATGGGATGAACCCAAAGAAAAAAAGGGTCATTTTTTCGAGTATTTTGTAGTAAAATCCTAGAATCCTCCTACCACCTACCATGTCTACACGTGTCAACAGCCCATTTCTTTTTAAAAACCCTGAACACTAGAACCTCTCTTGCCATCCTTCAGTTTCCAATTCAAAAGCTCCAAAACTGATTGCATCAATGGCAACAACAGCAGCCGTTGCAAGAAATCTGCTGAAAAGCAGCAAATCGTTCCCCCAGATTATACGCGGCCGAATCCTTGGTCGGTCCAATGCTGCTGCAAACCTCAATAACATAGCCAAAGATCACCACCAGATTGTTCAATCTTTATTCGTTTCGAACCAAACGATTCACGCCCAAATACCCATCTTTGATTTCACTGAAATGGGTTCTCTCGTTGGGTCTCATAGAGCGTTGACCCTGGAGGAGAAAGTTGGCGGAAGCCATAGGATCGTTGTCGAGGCTCGTGGAAAAGTCGTGGTGGACGACGACGACGAGTTTGTTGATGATGAAGATGTCGAGTTTGATGACGATGAGGAGTTTGATGCTAAAGATGACGACGACGATGACTGTGATGCTGCTGCTGCTGCTGATGATGATGGCGGAAATTAGAAGAATAAGTTTTAAGGATATTTGATCATGCAAATGTTTCAGATACGGACGAGGATGAAATCTCATAAGACAACAGAAAAAAATGTGGATGATCATGAAATTTCATGAGAAAGAAACTAACTGTTGAAATGCTATGTTTGTTTTAGTACTAGTATTTTACTATGTTATTTCTTCATGTTCTTCTGGTCTTTGTTATCTCAACTTGATATATTATGGTCCCTCCTCCTTGTATTACTAGACTAGATAAGCAATCTTGATGTTTGAAGCCTATTGGGATAAATAACCATTTTAACAAAATTGTATTTATTATCTGCTTATATTTTATTCATCTGAATTTTCATTGTAGAATTGGTAGCTGCGTTTACATTTGTTGATCAGAATCGTCATTTTCATGCTACTGTTTTGGGTTAGATTGTATTTTATTTGATCACTTTTATTTTAATTTTATAAATATATAATCACTCAATTTAAAAAAATTAATATGAGGTTATTTTTATTTCATTTTAATTAAAAATGTGATAATTGAAATATTAACTTTACACTTTAATAAAAGACTTTAATTTTTTCTTTAACCTTTGAATTTTAAATAAAATACTAAATAAAAATCATTTTATAAATATAAAAGTTTTAATTTACCTTTTTTTTAAAATATGTTTTCTTCTCCTAACCCCATCTTCTTCCCTCTTCTCTGCAGTCGTGACCCTCCCACTTCACCAAGAGGCCTCTCCCTCTTCACAAGATCATGGCTTCCCCTGTCTCAAAACCCTCAACGTGGCATCATCTTTGGGATCCATGGGTATGGAAATGACATAAGTTGGACCTTCCAGTCCACCTCCATTTTCCTCGCTCGAAAAGGGTTTGCTTACTCCGCCCTCGACATTGAAGGACACGACAGATCTCAGGGTTTAAGATGTTATGTCCCAAGTGTTGATTTAGTTGTCCAATATTGTCTCTCCTTCAATTTAATCAAGCAAGATCTGAGCTTTGATGGGTTACCCTGTTTTTTGTATGGAGAATCCATGGGGGCGCCATTGCTTTGCTGGTTCATTTTGCTGACCCCAAAGGTTTCCAAAGTGATATTTTGGTTGCACCAATTAAAATCTCGGACAAGGTTAAACCCAGATGGCCAATTCTTCAAGCACTCACTTTTATCTCCAATTTCTTGCCCACTTTAGCCATTGTACCGACCAAATCTATCAAGATTGAAGAAAAGAAGATTATTGGGAACAGTAATCCGTTCAGGTATAGAGGGAAACCGAGACTGGGAACCGTTGTTGAGCTTTTGAGGCTGACCGAGTTGTTAAGTAAAAAACTGAGTCATGTGAGTATCCCGTTCTTGGTTGTCCATGGCATTGCTGATGTCGTTATTGATCCGGAAGTGAACCGGACTTTGTACGAGGAAGCGTCGAGTCGAGACAAGTCGTTCACCAAAACAAAGTTCTAATTTAATATGAACAGTGGTCGGCGGCGTGGGTTTAGGTCTGCGAGGGTCACGGCTGCAAAGAAGAGTGAAGAAGATGGGGTTGCTAGCAGAAAACATATGAAAAGGGTAAATTAGAACTTTGCCCCTAAATTACTTTGAATTTATAAAATGATCCCTAATTAGTATTTTATCAAAAATTCACAGATTAAAGAAAAAATTAAATATTTTTACTAATGTGTCATGTTATTAAACTTAGGTTAACTTTCCAATGACCACGTATTAATATTTTTGGATCAAGTGACCATACGTTTATAAAATTAAAATAAAAGTGACTAACTCTATAATTTACTTTTTTTAAGTAGGAACTTGCATTAATTATTAAAATTTTGAGTTATTTTATTTTTATTTTATAAACCAATTCAAATTTAAAAAAATTTCAAATTGAATAAAATTTATGAAATTATAAGTTGAACTAAATCGAAATTAATTCTTTAATATTAAATTAAGTAAAAAAAACTCTAATTTTTCTTATTAATCACCCTTAAATGGACTCATTTCATAATGCAATTCAAGTAACACTTCACCTACTTGGATTCTTCCCGGAAAAAGCATCACTAGTGAAGGATCTAAACATTTTTTTAAGGATGGACTTTATATATTTAGGTGATACGATAAAATCTCAGGGTGAACACTATAAAATTTAATGTAGATACACATGCATTAATAAAAGAAAAATTTGAGTTTTAAAGAAATTTTTTTTGAATATCTAAAAATTTCAGGGTGGACACATACCCACCCTAAGATGAACCTATGTCCTCCACTGAGCACCACAACTGGTTTATGGCCGACCACCGAGCGCTTTTAGATGTATTAAGCATAATTGTCGAATAGTATGTTTGTTTCTTTCATTGAATTGATCATTTGTGCATCTTTTAGGCTTTCCACCTACCCTTCGAAGCGGGACGTGTTTCTTTCTTGATCTCAACTTCTTCAACGACTCTTTCCACAAGCTCTATGTTGTAAGGGATGGAAACAGCAATCGCCAAAGTTGATTATTCAGAAAGTATGGATGCCTTTCTCTGATCTTGTATCTGCTCTCAGGCTCTGCTCAAAGCCAGAAGCTCATCTTAAAGAAAAGTTATAGAAGGAAGGAAAGCCAAGGAAGACTTAGCGCAACCGTTTAGCGGAAGGAATATTCTGAAACCACTAGCTGCAATTAAACTAAAGGAAAGCTTTGATCGATATGATATTAATATTTTTTTAATGGGCTGAAGCATGCAGATTAGGTTGGTGTTCAGTGTACTGTTTGTATGTAAGGAGAGGATACGAAGGAAGGAAAGAGTTAAAGAAAGAAGTGAAGGAGAGTGAGCGGAAAGAACGCCTTGCCCTGTTTCTTTCACGTTTTCGCGTATTTTTCAGTATAAATCCAAAATCCGCTAATAAACACCTATCCTAATGCAATTCAATTTTGTTTTCCCTTGTTTTTAGGCCTCAAAATAGCATTTAGCCGTGTGAGATGGATTAAACATGAACTTACACATTAATTCGTATGTGTTAAGCAAAAGCAACATATCAATTATGATGGAACACATCCGAACGCAAACGTAATCTTATATAAAAAGACTACGCGACAAAGTACTCACATCACACGTCTGATGAACTGTAACTTTTAGGCGACAAACTCTTTTCATTGGTGTATGGGAAGGTAAAAGCAGCTCCGTATGCTACTAACTCCGCCTGGGGCTAGTGAACGCTTGTAGATCTGACCCCTTAACTCAAAGCAAACGCTCCGAACTACCTTTGAACGTTTCATCTCGCTCTGGTGCACTGACCACCAACATCTTAGCGAAGAGTACATTTAACTCATGCACATGATTAGAACGAAAAGATATATGACGAATTCGAGCTTTGACAAACCAGATCTTGATGCGCCTAGCGTAAGGAGAATGTGAGAGAATGAACGTACGAACTGTCTACTCGATAGCAGCTACTTTTATCCATCCAAGCTGAACTCGCTTTAGAGAAGACACCACCACTGCCATCTTTGTTGAATATGGAATTTTTGAAAAGAGAGAGAGGCTTTTATCCCTCGTTCTTATTGAAGATACCCCTATAATAAGACTACACCCCAACCCCACCTTCGCACAAACGGGCCATCTGCTGATGTTAGTTATTAGAAAGGGAATAAGCAAATCATTTAGCACAGGAATAACACATTCTTCATTCATCATAGTTTGCTTATATACACTGTTGTAACAAGCTCTTAACAGCCTCTTAACAGCCTAACAGTCTGCATAACTGCTCTAACAGCTTGACTAACTACATCACCTTAGCTGGCCAAATATTAACACGTGTAGCATGTGTAAATCAGTTATATTAGTCTAACATTCCTCCTACTTGTTCCTGTTTTTTTTGAATTAAAACTAGGTATTACACATATCTTATTGTGAAACTCCTCGAACACAAATCTTGCTAGGGGTTTGGTGAAGCCATCAGCCACCTGATGAGCTGCTGGAACGTAGTTAACTCGAATTTGCCCTGCAGCTACCTTTTCACCCACAAAGTGCACATCCAAGCCTATGTGCTTCGATTGCGCATGGTAAACAACATTGGCACTCATTGCCACTACTCCAGTATTGTCACACCACACCACTGGTTCTTGAGTCTGTTGCAAACTAAGATCAACAAGCAGTGCATTGACCCAGGTTACCTCAGCAGCCGCATCAGTAAGAGATTTATATCCGTCTTGCATCGTTAACCTGGAAATAGACTTTTACTTCTTGGAACTCCATGCAACCAGACTTCTACCAATGAACACTCCGTAGCCAGAGATAGACCGCCTATCATCCACACTAGCTCCCCAATCCGCATCAGCAAAAGCTTTAACATTTAACCCTGCATCAGTCGACTGGAACAAGAGACCATAGTCCACAATCCCAACTAAATACCTTAGTATTCTTTTAACAGCAGTCATATGCGTTTCTCGTGGTGCATGCATATATTGTGCCATTTTCCCAACACTGTAGGCCACATATGGTCGCGTGTGACACAAATAGAGAAGAGAACCGACTATGCTTCGGTATTCACTAGGATTGACCAACAATTCACCATCATCCGCTGAAAGTTTAGGGGATGCCACCATAAGTGTTGCATATGCATCAACTCCTCTCATTCCAGCATTCTCAAGCAATTCTAACACAAACTTCCTTTGATTCAACAAATCTGAATCACGCAACATTTGTACCTCAATTCCCAAGAAAAACTTCCAAGGTCCTTTAACGAAAACCTATTACCAATAAGACGAACAACTTCTTGAATCGCATTGGAAGACTTCCCAGTGATGACTATGTCATCAACATATACCAACACATATAGATCACCATCATCTGTTTTACTAATGAACAACGAGGGGTCAGCTCGTGATGCTGTAAATCTAAGCTGAAGCAAATTATTTCGAAGCTTAGTATGCCAGTTTCGTGGGGCTTGTTTGAGACCATAGAGGCCTTCTTAAGTTTGCAAACCAGTGGAGCACCATCTTCATCTGTTTGCTCGAACCCCGGTGGTTGCTGCATGAACACCACTTCATCTAGGTCCCCGTTGAGGAATGCGTTGTTCACATCTATATGTCTCATTTCCCAATTATTT